TCCTTTCTAACGAGTTTTTCTTAATGATAAAATTTAGGGTCCGTTTGATTGCAGGGAAAATAATTGCCTAGAACTTATTTTTCGGAAATTGTCAATTAATTGTGTTTGATTGGTATAATTTTCCACCTGGAAAATATTGAAATTTTGAATCTTTTGATGTTCGTTTGACTTTATTTTCATGGAAATTGTCTATTAAAGGGAACAATTTTTTACAATTGCGGATAAAATTTGTTTCCATTGTTCAAAAAAAAAAACTGGAAAACAGTTTTCCCACCAAAATTGTGGGAAAACAAATTCACCAAAAAGCTGGAAAAGTGTGCACGTGTGGGGGAAAGACAGAAAAAGAATTACCTAGCATAAAATGCCTATCAAACAAGTCATTAGTTATAATATAGGGCATTTGCTCAATAAAATGTAGCGTTACATTACTTATATTCTAATCGGAAATGCATTTTTTTTACTTTTAGATATTTTGTGTCAGGACCCCAAAATTGATCAACAAAAGAGCCAACTCAAATATTAGGCGAGTTAAGTGATCGTGTAAGGTCTTCAATTTTTAAAATTTACATATTTTTGTCTTTGTTTTTCTTCTGAAAGGTTCTTTTGGTTATTAATAACATTAAAAAAAAATAATTCAAAATTGAGAATGAAATTTACCAAAGAAAATTTGTGAATAAATAAATTAATAAAAATATAAAGATTAAATACTAACCAAAAAATTTATCAGCTCAAGATAATCGCTAAAAAATAACTTATAAGTCGAAACTATTATTCGAAAATAATAAAAAGATATTTTAACTTATATGTTAGTATCCTATAAAAAAAAATGAAAAATATAAAAACAGCAATATTTTGTGAGTGGCACGGACAGTTTCCCTTGTGTGACTGAAGGTGTTTCGATGATTACTATAGAATATTGATTTAATTAGAAACACCAATGATCATATTGTCGAGGATCACAAAACAGTTCTCGTTGGTGATTCGTGATAAGGTCACTACATTTTCATTCGATAATTGTTAACAAAAAGGTGGCTAACAAAAGTGTGTTGGTGACCATCAATAGTATTGATGTCGATAATTTTGTCTGAATCGTTAACATACAGTCCTTGTTTGATGGTGATTAAAATCAGATTTTTAGAAGATTTGATAAAAAGATGATGAAATATGTATTAAGAAGTTTTGAGTCATATAAACCCCTGTTTGGTAGATATTAAAATTAAATTTTAATAAAAGTTGATGAAAAGTTGTGGTTGAAAAGTTGTGGGCTTCATTAAATGTGTGGTTAAAATTAATTATTTATTTTGCCTTGAGATTTTAATTCAAACCAGACAGAAGCAAAATATGTAGTTAAAATTAATTGTTGATTTTGACTTAAACCAAACATGTGCATATTACTTCAATTAGAATCACTATCATATTAATCGGTTCTCTTCGATTACTTGGAACACCGTGGGTGATTTCCCAAAGTGCCATTGTAGACATTGTCATCAGTAATAATTGACAAAGTTGTGTTAGCAATCACCAATGGTATTGCTATTCATAATTTTGTATGAATCGTCAACAAATATTGATTTTTAATAAGAATTGTAGATCGTCATACAGTCGACAATAACCAACTAAATTTTCATCATTATTCATTTGCACCATTAATTTTCTATTATTATGCTTGAAAATATGTCCTTGGCACCCAAAATTACTTGTTCCCTCTTATCATGAACATATTAAAATCATTGGGCTCGTTTGGTTTGTATTTCAATTTTGAGTTTTGAGTTCATTTTCGTTCTTGTTTCAAATGTCTGTTTTAAGATTGCTAAAGATCAAAGTTCTAAAATACGTAATACGTGACAATGCGTCTTGACCGAACATCAAACATTACAAGTATATGCGTGCTTATACTTAATTATGGGTATTGATATTTTTTATATTTTAAACTGCTAAATAAATAAGATAATACATTTTTTTTTTAACTTTATACATATTTTTTAAATTTTCAACAAAAATATATTGCTCAAAATCATAAATACTACAATTACTTGGCAATAAATCTCTTCAATTAGATTATATATGAATATCGGCTTAAAAATCCAAAAACTTTTGTGATTGTATTAAATTCCAATTCAATCTCACCTTCTTCATCTAAGTCATCTGATGCAAAATATTAATCGTGCTCTCTTATTTCAACTCAATAAATTTTATTACCTTTTATAGATGGTAAGATATCATTTTCAACCTCCTCTTCTTCATTACAACCATCCATAATCCAAGATTGTATATTAATAACATCACTTGCTAATAAAACTAGAGAAATATCAAAGAAGAAGGAGACTCGAGCTCGACATAAAATGTTTGCAACTCTACGAGAAATTTATTTTTATTTTTATTTTTCTAAACGCCAAAACCTAACAGATTTTTATTTTACATTTTTTAGAACTTTACTTTTTAAATTTTTTTAGAATTTTAGATTTTATTTATTCAAAATTTTATCTTTTTTATTTTTTAAAATTTATCAATTTTTTTTTATTTTTTTTATTTTATTTTTTTAAAAAAATTAAAATCTTATTTGTTGGAATTTTTAATTTTTAAAAATTTATTTAAAAGCTTGTTTTCCATTTTTTATGGGTTTTAATAATTTTCATTGAAAACACTGAAACGTCAAAAATGTGTTTTGAGTTTTATATTATAAGTTTAACCTTATTTACGAAAATGTATTTTTAGAAATATCAAACCAAATACATTTTCAGTATTTTGCAAAATTGAAAACATATTGAAAACAGTAAAGCAAATGTAACATAAGCTTCCCAAGTTTTTTAGAGTCTGTTTGGTTTGTGTTTTAGTTTTCAATTCATTTTCAATTTTCAGGGTCTATTTTAAGATTTCTAAATTGCGTTTGGTGTTTTAAAAAATTATTTCTCAAAACAAAAAATTAGGAAACACATTTGTTTGAAATTTAGAAAAATTGTTTTATGACATTTTATTCAATAAAATTTGATTGTTCAGTAAAAATATAATAATTTTATATTAATATATTATCATGTATATTACATTTTAAAGTTGGCGAATCTTACAATATTTTTTCTTGCCACAAAAATAAAATAAGAATAAATAATAAATTGAGTTTAAAATATATGAAATAAAAAATAAAAATTAATAATGTGAATTGATAATATTTATTTAGAATTTTTATGTAAATAATTAGTAAGAGCTTAAACTATTTATATTTATTATTTTTTAGAAATTTTTTTAATTTTTTTTTCAAATTTTCAAAATTTATTTATTAGAATTTTATATTTTTCTTTTTTACAATTTTGTTTAAACAAAATTTTATTTAAATGCTTGTTTTCAATATTTCGAGTGTTCTCAAAATTTTCACCAAAAAATTCAAAAAGTAAAAAATGTATTGAGTTTTTTGTTATAAATTTATCATTATTTTCGAAAATGCATTTTCAGAAATACAAGACCAAACACATTTTCAATGTTTTACAAAACTGAAAAATAAAAACAGCAAACCACAAATGCACCCTTAAATTTTCATCCTAATTTAACAATTTTTTTCTTAATTATATTAGTCCAATTCTCCATTCAGATAATAATAACGGTCTAAAAGAACAGCAACAGAGAATCAAAATGTAAGTTACTTGTAAAATAAATGGAACCATCAAGAAGTCTAAACCAGCAACTTGCATAAACAGAAAGCTCTTAGAAATCTGAGCAACAATCTATTTGCAATATAACAAAGAAATAGACAATAATACCTTTCTTAGTAAGTTACGAAGGTCACTTACAAAACATAAACACGTATAATAGATGTAGCATCAGAATTTCACTTCATTGACTTGACAATATTTACTATCAGCACCAATTTGTGCAATCAAAAGTATTGAACTATCAGTGTTCACTACTGCATTGCTGTTGGATTGTGAACAAACTAACCAGGTCAAAATAGTCAATCCCACCCAGTTGCAACCACAGTACCATAATCAAATCCAGAGCTACTTGAACCCGCAACAGGGGCAGCACTGAAACCGGAAACATCAGCACCAGCAGGGACGACGTAAGGAACAAATGTTGAAGCGTCGGGATCAGAATAGGGATACGGACTTGCTGTTGCATTGTTAGCGTAATGGCTAGAGAAGTCCCCATTACCACCATTAACATAGTCGCCATTTCTATAATCATAACCAGCAAATTTGCTGCCTCCAAATTGTTTAGATCTTCCATTACCAGTAATATAAGTTGCCTCAGCATATTCCTTAAGCCAGTTTGGAATTTCTTGATTCGCTTCCTTCATCAGTTCGACAAGGTCTTTTGCAAGAGGTGTATTCTTCTCACTGAAAAATGCAGTGGCCAAACCAGATTTTCCAGCACGTCCCGTCCGACCTATCCTGTGAACATAATCATCTTTGTTCTTTGGTAAATCAAAATTTATAACATGAGCAACATTAGATATATCCAATCCGCGTGCAGCAACATCTGTGGCCACCAAAATTGGAGTGAGTCCGTTTCTGAATGATCTCAATGCCTGTTCTCTCTCCTTCATCCATTAAAAAGAACGTAAAAAAATATATGAGGTGCTACATTTTCAGGGAATGTTCTGAAGGAACATACATGCATGTCAACAAACAACAGTCTAAATAATATGTGCTAGTTTACATTTAACATTTCAAGGAATCGAGAATTCAAAAATTCTTTTAAATCAAACTGCTTATAGACAATATTTAATAAAGAAACAATTGAAAAGAACAATATATAAGATTAAAAACACCATCTAGCAAGAAGAAGTTAGTCCTATGAGAAGTAGAAACTATATGATAATCACCTAGGAAATACTGTCACGGGCACAAGTGTTGGATATGATGCAACATGGACATGCCAGACACAAAAGATTTTAAAAAATTACAAGACTCGCGGACATGCAATTTTACAAAAAAGAACCGACATCCCCAACATGCTGGTTAAAGTAATATTAATGTTTTTTTATTTTTTATTTCTTACATTTTGAAGTAAAATTGTTTTTGTCAATACGTGTTTACGCGTATCAATTGCATGTCAACAATGTATCCCTTGGCATGTCGGCAAGACAATGTATATCTCAGAACGTCGTCTACATGTCCAACAATATAAAACCAAAAAATAATTTGGACACGCTACATGGCATATCAGAAACGTGTGCAATGTATCATCGTCATGTCAGTGGATCCTAGATAATGACTTCTCCCAAATGCCAAAAATTGGAAAAACATGATAACCATATTCTCCAAGCCAGACCGTTCAATTTAGTTGTGGAGAGGGCTCTAAGACAATACAAATTACATGGAAAATGTATGTACTAAATGAAACATGTTGAATGCAAGCTCAACTAATAAAAATGTCAACAGAAGGCAAAACTTTCAGTAAGACATTTCCACAATGCCTTATATATCGAGAAACATAATAAGAGAGCAAGAACTACCGACCATCTGAACTTTGTCACCGTGAATCGCAGTAGAGGGGAAACCTCTTCTGCACAACCAGCGTTCCAGCATATCAGCTCCTTTCTTCGTCTCTACAAAAACAAGGGTCAAAGCATCCTGCAAAAATATAGTTTCTGTAGATCATGAACCTAGAAACTTATAGTTTAGGGTAAGTATAAAGCATTAATATGGTGCAGAATACTGCAATGCCAGTAGGTGTACCTTTCCTTTGGTCCCATTTGTCTTCTGGGCATGAAGAAGATTCATCAAATGGTCTCTTTTGTCCATATCAGGAACAAAATCAACTCTTTGAACAATGAGATCAGTGCTTGAGCCAACCTTCCCAGCAGCTACAAATATGTAGTTCGATAGAAAATCAGATGCAAGCCTCTGCAAGAATGAAATGGCAAGAAAAATTAAGACAGCAATTCTGATAAACTAAAGCCAAGTTTGCTGAAGAGATCATGGAACTTTTAAGTAATTATTCAGAAATTCACCCCCAAGCCCATCAAGAGAGCTAATATAACCTTGAAGATGTTTCCATAATGAGACACGGATATTAATTTTGAAGCTACTAATCTTTGGATATAATCACAGCATAGGTTTAAAAGCATATTTTTAATGAATGAAATACGCAATAACAGTACAAAATATAAAAGGTTTAAATTCAATTCAACCATGTCTTTAACCAAATATTAGAAACATTAGAGGACAGGGATGGAAAAACAAACTTGTATCTCAGTTGGGAATGTTGCACTGAAAAGCAATGTTTGCCTCGCAGATGGTGGAGGCATCTCCATTTGCTGAACAATCCTCCGGACCTGAGGCTCGAAGCCCATGTCCAACATTCTATCAGCCTCATCAAGAGCCAAATACTTCACATTCTTCAGGGAAACCATCTCTCTTTCTATCATATCCACCAAGCGTCCAGGAGTAGCAACTAAGATGTGCACACCTTTTTCCAGATTGCATAACTATAGAAGCAAAAATAGCAAAGGAAAATAGATTAGTACAAGAGCTAGACCTAGAAAGGCTTGATTAAATTATATAAAATGAAAACATCAATTGCTCTTGATCAGTATAACATGGAAATGTAAATGATAAGGAATGTCAAGTGGAAAGCTTTTGAAACATAAAAAGACTCAGAAGTTGTTATTCTCAATCTATGATGCTGTTGCCCAAGATCATGATTAAACAAGAGTAAAAAAAAAATTACTTATAGTAACTTAGAATGACAAAACATCATTACACAAAATATAAAAATCACTAATACATGGCAACTACTTCGACACGAAGACATGGAGCCATCATGTTACCTGCTATCTAATTTCATCACCTTACGAGCTAACAATCTACTTAAACATTGTAACATCACAATCAACAAATAAACTGATCAGAATTTAGCCAAAGGACATTACGATAAATTAATAGACAATGTCAAAACAACATAAAAGTGATGGTTTCAGATGTAGAAAACTCTTCAAACAAGAACAGCTACAGAGAAATCCTGAACCTGCTGGAAAATTGGTGCCCCACCATAAGCAACCACAACCTTTACTCCAGTTTGATACGAGAACTTCTTTGCTTCCTCGTGTATCTAGAGATTTACCAACACAACCCCGTCAAACAAATCAAATTTGAAATAATTAACATTCTAGTGAAATGTCATCCATCCTACTGAAAATTACGTTAAAAAAGAAATCTCCACATATAATAAAGGCCAAAAAAGGAAAAGATAAAGATTTTGCGAGAGGAATGTAACAGTAACTCACATAATAATAATACTCCCTCCGACCCAGTCCCATAAAGATAGTCCTGTTGTCCTTTTTGGTATGTCCCAAATTATAGTCTTATTTCTTATTTGACAATGCAGTTCATATATCAGTTTCCTAGGCCCTGTTTGAGCCAAATTATTGTAAAATGAGATTGAAAAATATAATCATTATTGGTGCCTAAATAAGAGATTGAAAATTTGAATTTAAATGTAGATGTGATGGATAACGATCATATTTTTTATTTTAATGAGACAATAATGTAAATCAAACGAGGGCCTAATATACCCCTATTTAATGTGTTTTGTTATTATAAAAATAAATCACTCCACTGTTCAACTGTAGTTGGAACAATAAATTAAAAACTTAAAAAATATTTCATCTCCGGTGACATTTATTTATTTGTATTTGTATTCGTGACTTTGGAATGTTAATTTCCTTGATTCTTGGATTAAACAATGATTAGTACAAAAATATTTTAATTACCTTGAATATCACATGCATAATTTAATTACCTTGAATATTAATTACATTAATATATGGATATATTATGAAAAATGATAGTAGAATTTATTATTTAAACCATATCTAAATTTTCTTAAACTGAACAAAGAAATAGTTATGGAATAATGCTACTTTGTGAGAAAGTAGGTGACATAGGTGTTGGCAAGAGGTAGCATGATGGACCTTCATGGACGGAGGGAGTAATAATAATAATAATAATAATAA